AGCAGCTTGGGAGGCTGAGGCAGGAGGATTTAAGCTCAAAAGCAGCCTCAGAAATTTAGCATGGCCCTAAGCAACTCACAAGCTCTTGTCTCTAAAAAAATAAACAAGGGCTGGGGATGTGGTTCAGTGGTAAAGTGTCCCTGGGTTCAATGCCTGGTATAAAAAAAAAAAATAAAAAATAAAAAAAATCAATGAAAAGAACAAATAATAGATGGAACAAAAGAGAAACAAATAAAAGATATGAGATTTAAATCCAATATCAACACTGCTGGTGGGACTCACATTGGTGCAGCCAATATGGAAAGCAGTATGGAGGTTTCTTAGAAAACTGAGGATGGAATCACCATTTGACCCAGCTATCTTTCTCCTCAGTCTACACCCAAAGGACTTAAAAACAGCATACTACAGGGACACAGCCATATCAATGTTTATAGCAGCACAACACAATTCACAATTCATTATAGCAGCACAACACAATTCATAATAGCTAAATTGTGGAACCAACCTAGATGCCCTTCAATAGATAAATGGATAAAAAAAAATGTGGCATATATACACAATGCATATATACAGCAATAAAAAAGAATAAAACCATGGCATTTGCAGGTAAATGGATGGAGTTAGAGAAGATAATGCTAAGTTAGCCAATCCCAAAAACCCAAATGCTGAAATGTTTTCTTTGACACAAGGAAGCTGATTCACAGTGGGATAGGGAGGGGGAGGGTGGGAAGAATAGACAAACTCTAGATAGGGCAGAGGGGTGGGAGGGGAAGGGAGGGGGCATGGGGTAATTAATGATGGTTGAATGTGATGATCATTATTATCCAAAGCACATGTGTGAGGTCATGAATTGGTGTGAGTATACTATGTATACAACCAGAGATATGAAAAATTGAGCTCTATATATGTAATAAGATTTGTAATGCATTCCGCTGTCATATATAAATTTTTAAGAAGGAGAAAACAATAAATAAATAAATAAATAAATCCAGTATCAATAATCAAGTTGAATTTAAATGGTTTAAACACTCCAAATAAAACACACACACACACACACACACACACACACAAACTATTAAGGCTAGGGGGCAGCTCAGTGACAGAACATGTGCTTCCTCCAGGGGGCTCTAGGGTCAATCCTCAGCCTGGATGCACAAACTGGTAGGAAAGGAGGAAGGAAGGGCTGGGGTTGTGGCTCAGTGGTAGAGTGCTGGCCTGGCATGTGTGAGGCACTGGGTTCAATTCTCAGCACCACATATAAATAAATAAATTAAATAAAGGTCTAACAATAACAACAAAATATTAAAAAAAAAAAAAAAAGGAGGAAGGAAGACATTGTTAATCCCACATTTCATACCATACACAAAATATGCAAAATTAGATTCCAGAAGGATTGTCAATAGAACAATCAAGATTTTAGAAGATAATGAGAGAATATCTTCATGACCACGACATAGCCATGATTTCTTATGCAAGTGACAAGTGTACTCACCGTAAGGAAAAGCCAATTACGGTTTATTAAATAGAGATTTTTTTTTTTTTTTAATGAAAAGACACCATTTTGGAAATGCAAAGATGAACAGCTCCTGGCAGTAACTACTGTTCCTAACAACAGTTACGATCTGGGAATAGCGCCACATGCCAATAACTTCAGTGACTTGGGAGGCAGAGGCAGAAGGATTAAGTTTAAAACTAGCCCCAGCAACTTGGTGAGAGCCTAAGCAACTTAGTTGAGACCCTTTCTCAAAATAAAAAATAAAAACAGCTGGGGATATCCCTGGGCTCTATCGATAGTACCAAAAAAAAAAAAAATGTAAAAAATTACACTAATAATAAATATATTTAAGGTAATTATTTCTGATATTGAGAACAAAGTCTGAAAGATCGTAGAGGCATGTGCATCTACAACTAAAATAACCAAGAAAACTTTGCCAAAACAAAACTGAGCCTTGTTCTAAAAATTACTTTTAGTATAATCATGGTTTAACAAATAATTCATGAGAAAGGCTCTTTAGGCAGAAATGTGATAATCAGACGTCAGTCTTTCTTCCAAAAACTCAAAAGAATTCACTTAGAAATTTAAAATGGCAAAAACTCCTAAAAGATATAACGGATAGATTACATAAGGAAAATTACCTATACTCACACAAGGTACAACAAAGCACAGGTGGTTGTAACAAAAAAAAAAATAAAGGAATAAAAAGTTCCTTGGATAATTTAAAACATAGGAAAGGGTTTCTTGTGAGAGGGAAAAGAGGTAGACAGACACAGACATGCAGCTGTTGGCATAGAAAGGATGATAAACCAATGTGATCTCAGTTTCACACAAAAGAAAAAACACAGTGCCCCCAGCTGGAGTAAAAGAGCTTAACAGATATAAACTGAAGAGTACATGAATGAATGAAAAGAATGAAGAAGAGATGAAAATTACAGCTGGTGGGAAGTAAAGATAATTGCCTGTAAAAAGAAAATAAATTATCTGAAAGAAAAGAATAACCAAGAAAGAAGAGTACCATGGTAGTAAAAGTGGAAAAAGCAAGTTAGCAAAAATGACCAAGAGTAAACTGCTTTGGAGATGAAGAAAACTGAGGATGGTCAGAAGCCTAAAATAACAAAAGAAGTATTTTAGACTGGCACAGTGATACATGCCTTTAATCTCAGCTACTCTGAGGCTGAGGTAGTAGGACACCAACTGGGGACTACCCTCAGCAACCTAGTGAGACCCTGTCCAAAAATTTTTTTAGAAGGGAAAAAAAGTATTTTGATAACTATTCAAGAATAGAAGGTAGAAGCAAGGTGAGGCCTGTAATCCCAGCTATTTCAAGAGGCTGATGCAGGAGGCTCTCAAGTTCAAGAGCAGTCTGGACAACTTAGTAAGAACCTGTCTCAAAGTTTAAAAAAGGGCTGGAGGGTTGGGGATGTGGCTCAAGAGGTAACGCACTCGCCTGGCATGCGTGGGGCGCTGGGTTCAATCCTCAGTACAACATAAAAATAAAATAAAGCTGTTGTGTCTGCCGAAAACTGAAAAATAAATATTAAAAAATTCTCTCTCTTTAAAAAAAAAAAAAAAAAGGCTGGAGATGTTGTTCAGTGGCAAAGCACCCTGTGTTCAATTCCCAGAACTGGAAGGATGAGGGGATACAGAAGGCAGATGTGGAATATACATTACTCTAATCAATACCAAATATACCCAATACCAGTGTTGAAGTAGAATAAAATTAGGAATAACTACTATTTCCCATATGCCAGGCATACTGCTAAGGATTTATGTTAATTCATAGCAGTTTGTAAAATTACCCCAAAATATCCCAAGTCAAGTTGATATGAAACATGTCTGTAACTAGGGAAGCTTAAACTCAATTGATTCTATTGTACTGTGGCTGAAAGAAAGAATATAACGATAAGGTAACAGTCATGAATGACATATAAAATAAACGTCAGAGTGAGTGAATGCTACAGTGGTAGCATTCTCCAATACTGTCTAGCATGTAAGTGAAGCAGGGACAAGAATTTGGGAAGTAAATCCCAAGAGTAGAAAAGAACACATGATGCTCTTGTAACTTAGTGACACTGTCTGTTAATAAAATCCAACCAACTCTTTTTGCTTTAATTCCATGGTCAAATAAGCTTTTGATTATAATTTGCCTCCCACGTAGTTTTGGTTTATAGATCAGTCTCTAATAATCAGTTTTCTAAGCCTCATCATCTCTGGGTGAACTAACAAACCACCTTTTTAATCCTACAAATTCAAGAACCATAACCTAAATTAGATGTACATAAAATGATATTATGATGGGCTGGGGATGTGGCTCAAGCGGTAGCGCGCTCGCCTGGCATGCGTGCGGCCCGGGTTCGATCCTCAGCACCACATACAAACGAAGATGTTGTGTACGCCAAATACTAAAAAATAAATATTAAAATTCTCTCTCACTCTCCCTCTCTCTCTCACTCTCTCTTTAAAAAAAAAATGATATTATGAACATCTAGGAGTCAGTCTGGGGCAGAGAGCTGGTCTCTATCTTGTTGGGTGTCTATTTGAACTACAACTGTTTAAATCATTATTCTAGTCAGTGAGTCATCTTCTGGCCCTATGGACATGGATTTCTCTTGGTACTGTGATGTGGCACCAAGTAAATCCCTATATTGCTAAAGCAATCACCTGAAATGTTTTCTTACCATCTATTGCTGAAGAACACATGCATTAATCTTCTACAGACCTTACACAAATGCTTTCTTACTAATGTACTCAAGAGGGTTTAAGTATATTAAAACAAGATTTCTTATAGAGTAGGTACAAAAAGCTCCTAAGAAGATTAAACAAATTTTTAGCACAGCAGAAATATTAAAGAATGAATTAAAATTGCAAAGACACAAATGAAGCAAAAAGCACTATTTCTAGCTTCTGTGGAGAAATAACAAAAGAAGATGTGGAGAAGCAAGACAGGAGGATTCCAAGTAGCCTTCCTAATGACATGACAAGCTCTTAACCTGTTTAGGCTTGCTTTCCTCTTCTGTAAAATGAAGCAATTGCCTCAGATAATCTCTAAGGACTGATGGTCATGGGGGAGCACATCTGTAATCCTAGCTAGTCAGGAAGCTGAGAGGGAAAATCCCAAGTTCAAATCTGGCCTTGGCAACTTAGACAGACCCTGTCTCAAAAATAAAATAAAATAAAAAAGGACCAAGGACATAGCTCAGTAGTAGAGCTCCCCTGGGTTCAATCCCCAGTACCAATTAAAAAAAAAAAAAAAAAAGGAAGAAATCTCCAAGGTCCCTTTCAATTCTAAACTCTATTACAAATTCTAAATTCTATGACTAATTCACCAAGAAAACTTAAGATTAGCTTTGCTCAAATAATATGGTACATTTCTTTCCAAATGGTAACTACTTTACCTCCATTATATCAAAACTAGATCCAATAAGAGAAAAATATTAGTACAAAATCTATCTGCTACAATGGTGCTTAAAGAATTAAAATAAAAACAAAAAGGAAGGCTTACGTGTGTCTTTCGTATCTGAGGGTTTCTCGGATAGACCATGCAACCTGGTATGGTGAAGCCTGTTCTGAGTCCTCCAGTTCCTCTCCGCTTTCTTCAGACCAGTCCAACCCTGGGGCAGACAGAGGATATTCAAGTTAGAAAAAAATTTACTTTGACTAAAAATTTAATTTAAAAAATAGGTATCCAAAATACATAAGCCAACACCAGCAAGTATTATCATAGTGTTGAACAAATGCCTCCAGTATTTCTATCACTACAAAGGCATTAATAATAAATATATGATATATGCTCAGGTGTTGAAAAAATGACATTATAACAAAAAGGCTATGCTATATTAAGGATGGACTTTTAATAGGCTCTTTACTAATGGAGTAGACACAACAGAAGCAAAGATATAGAGTTCAGGACACATAAAAGGTAAAATTTTTAAGTATCAAAATATCCTATACTAAAACAGTATAAAAAAAACATATTCAAGAGGGTTAAGAGAAGAAGTCCTATGTATGTAATGTTCTAGCAAGAAAAAAGTCAAAAGGTGGTAATGGAGTCACCTTCAACAAAGAAAGGCCCTGGAATAAACTGTCAAAGGCAGACACACTCCGTCTTTCCCCCAATACATGTGGAGGAAAGGAAAGGGTTCCAAGGATTAGGCAGGGCACTCCCATGGGAAAAGCAAAGGGTGGGATACCAATGTTCAATTAAATGAAGTTTGGGCCTTCTTTCAATTCCTTTAAACAAGAGCTGCCACATTTTGTGCTTCATTTGCTAAAACAAGTTTAGAGGAGATAAAATGTAGAAACATGGTATCAATGATGCTTAACTGTTTTGTTAAATCCTATAATTTTTAATGACAGGATAACTATTAGCTTCTGACATAAAGGTTTTCCCCTTTTAAAAGTTTATATTCTGAAGAAGTCTTGATAAATAGATGTTGCATAGCCTAAAGAATAACAGAGTGTGTGGGATCATGCAATTTCAATATACTCATGCCACTATGAAAGTTATTAGACATCTTGATTTTATGTCTTCCTACATGAGAACCTCAAAAATCAAAAGAGCATTCTCATTAGACAGTTATATTTAAAAGGATTTCATGGACTTCTTTCATAGTTTAAATGAGTTTACATGTGCCAAATAGAGAAATTAAGAAATGGATAATTGAAATGCAAATTATAAATGCTTAAAATTAAATTACATATTGCCACTAGTAAAAGAAACTTCAAATCTAGTTCCAAGATGACCCTTTATGGTGTCAGGTCACCTTAAAATGTGAGTACTTACTACTAAGTGCAAGAATCAAAATTTGTAGGGAAAAAAAGAAAAAGAAACAATTAAGTGATGTTAACACCAACTTCTGTAAGGTCTTTCAAAGTGATACTTAAGACACCTTTAAAAAAACAGAATATGAAGGCTGAATCAGGAGGACTTAAAGTTGGAGTTTAGCGTGAGCAACTTAACAAACCTTAAAAAATTTAGCAAGACCCTATTTCAAAATAAAATGGGCTGAAAATGTGGCTCAGAGGTTAAGTATCCGGTTCAATCTCCAGTACCAAAAACAAAATCAAAACAGAATATGATCTATCTTTTGTTGATAGAAGTAATGATATTTTCTACTAAGACACCTACACTTCCTCTGAAAAAGTCAAGACCTAAGTTGTGTTTTTCCTGCTGAGAAATTAACTATCCAATAAAGCAAACCTTTGATCTTAGGTTATCGCTAGTTTTAATATTAACTAACTGATATGACCAGACCAGACAGAACTAATAAAGCTAATTAGAAGACTAAATTTTTCTTTAAGCACTCTTTGCTGACATAAACAAAGACTATGTTTGGTTCTAAGAGTACATTACAATTTCTCTAAAATAAACTTTGCTGTAAATGACTTTAAATTAAAATAAAATAAAAAGGCTGAATTTGGGGGCTGTGGTTGTAGCTTAATGGTAGAGTGTTAACCTACCACCTGTGAGGCACTGGGTTCCATACTCAGCACCACATTAAAAAATAAATTAAACAAAAGTCCATTGTGTCCATTTACAACTAAAAAACAGTTTTTTTAAAAAAAGGTTGAATTTTTTTTGTTAAGTTAATTCAAAATTGATAGCCCCCAACTTAAAATTCCAGTTTCAAAAGCTGACTACAGCCCCAGCCCTAAACCAAAGGATTTTAATGTAACAATAAGAAAAATTCCTGTATACAGTTTCAGATTCCACATTGCAACTACCACTTATCAAATTTCAGGGAAGAATCAAAGGACAATGTCCACAATTACTTTAAAAAGGCTATTAAAGTACTCCAACTTTTCCATCTACGTAAAAGTCAGACCATATTTTCCTAAAACCATATATCACGACATATTAAATATAAAAACAGGCATGAGAATCCACCTTCCTTCTAGTAAATCAGACATTAAAATATGCATAACAATGCAAAATAACACTATCTTGTTATATTTGTTTTGTTTTGGAAGTTATTCACCATATTACATGGCGAATTTATTTTGTTATTTTTGAACGAATCATTAATATTTTTAAACTTTTCCATTTCAACTAACATAGTAAGTATCAATAGAAATAACATATACAAAAGTTTTATGGTGCCTTCAATTTACTTATTTATTTATTTTTAAGCTACTGGGGCTTGAACCCACAGGGACTGAGCTACATCCCTAGTTCTTTTTATTTTTTTTGAGACAGGGCATCCCTAAGTTGCTAAGACTGGCCTCTTGCCTCAATCTCCTGAGTTGATGGGGGTTGCAGGTGTGTACCACCATGCCCAGTTGTCCTCAATAATTTTTTAAGTGTAAAAGCATCTAAAGGCCCAAACTTGAGAAATACTGATCTAAGATGTGAAAATTAAAGCAGATTTTCTATTAAATTTGCAAAGGCAAAAATAATAAGATCCAAGGCTGATAAAGATGTAGACATACTAATTCAAATGTACTACTGAAAGAAGAGTAAACTGACAAAGTAATTCAAGGAAAATTTAGCAACACATATCAAAAACTTTGTTTTTGGTGCTAGGGATTGATCCTAGGGGCTTATATATGCTAAGTATGCACTGTACCATTAAGCTATATATGTAATCCACCAAAAAACGTTTTTATAAAAACATAAATTCCACTTCTAAGAATCTATTTGAAGAAAAAAATTAAAGATGTAACAGTAATTATTTTGGGGCAAGGCTCTACAAGAGTATAATGATATAAACTGGAAATGACTTAAAATTGAAGATAGAATTCAGCTATGAAAAGTTATTTCATATAAAAAATTAACTTGAAATTACATAAAATTTTTTAAAAGTTATAAATCAGCATGTATACTAGGAACAAATTTATACATTTGAGAAAGTATTAATCAATGGATATTAGGGTTTGAGGTATTTTAATTTGTTCTTTTGGCTTATCTATATTTTAAAAGTTTTTTTTGGTGTGTTATGTGGGAGGGGCAGCGGTCCTGGGGCTTGAACCCAGAAAGTGCTTTACCGCTGAGCCACATCTCCAGCCCTTTTTATTTTTTGAGACAAGCTAAGTTGCTTAAGGCCTTGGTAAGTTGCTAAGGCAGGCTGGCCTGGAATTTGCCATCCTCCTGTAACAACTTTCGTCGTTGAGATTACAGGTGGGTGCCACCACACCCAGCTAAGAGTTTTGTTAAGTATTTTTAAATACGAAAAGTTGGTGTTTTTTATTTGTTTGTTTGTTACCAGGGAGTGAGCCCAGAGGTGCTTAACCATTGAGCCACATCCCAGCACTTTTTGTACTTTGATTTTGAGACAGGGTCTCACTAAGTTGCTGAGGCTGGCTTTGAACTTGTGATCCTCCTTCCTCAGCCTGAGCCACTAGGATTACAGACCTGTGCCACCACCCCTGGCTCAGTGTTAACAATATATGAAACAATATAAGCTACACAAGAAAAGCTACCACTCCCTTTTCCCATAAAACACATCCTGCCCAATTCCAGTCTCCCTGTAAGAGCCAATGTTAACAGCCCAGAAGCATATATCCTTTTACACTTTTTCCTATCTATGCAAACACCAAATAAGCAAATATCTATCCACATACTTAATCAATAAATATAATGATGTCCTTTGTTTTTGTAAAAATAAACAAAGCACATGAACAGAGTAACAAAGAACATCTCTTGATTTTTTTTCCACCTGATAAATCCTGGGCACATCCTGGTCAAAACATATACATTTCATTCAATTCTTTTAAATAGCTGCTTATTTAACACTTGTGTGTACAATAATTTATCAAGGTTTCCTGTCAGTTACTCAAGATATTTACAGATTTTTAATGTTGTAAGCAAAGCTGTAATAAAAAACCATTTTCACACACAGATTATTAGATAGGACATGTTATTCATAGAGTAGAGACCAGTGATGGTCTGAATATGAATTGTCCCCTGAAAAGCTCACGTTAGGAAATGTAGCAATGTTAAGAGGTGAAGACAGGATTTTGAAAGCTATAACCTCATTAGTGGATTAATCCATTTGATGGAATAATGATTTGAATGGATTACTGGGTAGTAACTGTAGGCCAATGGGGCACTGCTTAAGCATGTAGGTCACTGGGGCATGCCCTTGGGAACTGTATCTAGTCCCTAGCTCTCCCTCTCTGCTTCCTGGCTACCATGTAGTGACAGCTTTCCTCTACCATGCCCTTTCTGCCATGATGCTCTGCCTCATTTCAGGCCCAGAGCAATAAAGTTAGCTGACCATGAACTGAACCTCTGAATCCCTGACCCCAAAATAAACTTTTCCTCCTGTAAATTTTTGTCAGGTACTGTGGTCACAGTGATGAAAAGCTAACTAATACAAGTCCCAAAAGGGAATTTGTTGGCTATCAATAATTGTGTGTGTATATTTTTTTTAATATTTATATTTTAGGTGTAGATGGACACAACACAACGCCTTTATTTTTATGTGGTGCTGAGGATCAAACCCGGGTCCTGCCTGTGCTAGGCAAGCGCTCTACCGCTGAGCCACAATCCCAGCCCCAATATATATTTTTAAAGGTATTCTACATTACTCATCAACAAAGTATGAGATACAGGCAGGGTGCAGTGGCACATGCCTGTAATCCCAATGACTTGGGAGGCTGAGGTAGGAGGATTCCAAGTTAAAAGCCAGCCTCAGAAATTTAGCAATTTAGCAAGACCCTGTCTCAAAATAAAAAATAAGGGCTGGGGTTGTGGCTCAGCGGTAGAGCACTTGCCTGGCATGTGTGAGGCACTGGGTTTGATTCTCAGCACCATGTAAAATAAATAAAGGTCTATCAAAAACAACAACAACAACAACAACAACAACAACAACAAAATATATATATATATATAAAAATAGATAGATAGATAGATAAATAAATAAATAAATGGGCTGGGAATATGGCTCAGTGGTAAAATGCCCCTGGATTCAACCCCCGGTACCAAAAAAAAAAGTATGACACAATACCCTTAGCAACATTGAGTATAATTTTTGTCAATCTGGTAATTAATTGTTTTAATCTATATTACCCTGACTCCAATGGGGAATTTTGTTTGTTTATTGACCATTAATATTTGTTCTTCTATTCATGTCCTTTGTTCATATTTTTACTGCTACCCACATCATGCAAAAGAATTTTTCCTGAAGTTAGAATAATAGTTCATATCACATTCAAAAAGGTTTAAATAATCAAAAACAAAACAAATAAACCCAACTATTAATAGTAAATACAAAAAAACCTTTAAATTAGAAAAAGATGTTTTATCTGTATTTTTCTCACTTTCCAACCATACACAGGTATTGTCTTGTGAATTTTTTTTTAAATGAAGCTTTGTGGTTTTTTTTCCCCCTGCTATTGGCAAATATTAGCAATGCTATTGATATTCTAAAATCCTACAATAAGACACAGAGAGTTCTGATAATCCCAGCAACTCGGGAGGTTGAGGCAGAGGAGCACTTGGGCCCAGGAGTTTGAGGCCAGCCTGGGCAACACAGAAACACTCATCTCCTCAAGCTTAAAAAGAAGCATCCAGAGCATCACTCTGTAAAGGTAGGTATTCTAGCCCTATCATTTATGTGGTAGCTGTGACAGAATGTGTTTATCTATACATATATGATATGGTAAAACCAAAAACTCACCTAAGTGGGGAAACAGATCAGTATCCAACTGATGTTTTTGTGTGCACAGTTTCACCAGTCTCTGCAGCTGACTTATACAAGAGAAGTGTGGAGAGAAGGCTGTGGCTTTCATAAGGACCCGGTCAGTCCTGGGGGGGTCCACGACGGGAGCCCTACTGGATGGCAGGAAGGGCAGAGGCCTCTTGTGAGACAACTGCCTTGCTTGTGCTATAGTGTGTGTGGTGGGGGCCACTCCCTGCATTGGTAGGCTGGTGTTCTGAGGTTGAGGTGACTTGCAGACAGAACCCTGCGGCGGCGCTGGAGGTTTTAAAGTGGATAAAGGTGACAGTTGGGAGTGCTGCTGCGGAGGCTGCTGCTGGGAAGGTGCAGGAGGGGGACTAAAGTGCTCTTGTCGAACTTTTAAAATCTCTGTCTCTCTCTGGCGCTGCCGATTCTGGGCCAATTTGCTCTGCAACTTCTTTCTCACAGTTGCCCCTTTCTTCAGATCATCATCTTCCTCGTTGAAAGCAAATGGGTCTTCCAACTCAGTTTCCAGGTAGTGGAGAGGGACCCTTGCCCCAGGTGGAGAGAGGGACATTCCATCCAGTCCATTGGGCATCTTCAAGGCCAGCGTGGGCACTGTCAAGCTAAAGGCCATGGTATCCATCTGGTGCCTGACTTTCACCTCATCTATAGGATCATTCTTTTTCTTCCTCTCTTTTTTCGGGATAAAGCCAAGTACCTGCAAGTGGCTGTTGCAGTACCTTTAAAAGTATATGGGAAAATGTGCATGAAACATATGAAGAATATAAAAATTACATATTATACAATGTGAATCCTATAGGTTAAAAATTTCATGACTATAGTAACTCTTGATCTTCATTGATTTAATACATAACTTTCACAACTCTCAAGCATTCCTCAAAGTCTGCATGATTCTGCTGAGGCAAATATGCAAACTGAATATGAGCAGAGTTGGCCAGACAGAGGCAAGTCAGTCATCTAGTGAGGGCCCTGATAATAACTAGACCACTGCTTATCACATGATTTGTTGTTCTTCATTCAGAGTCTGAAGGATCATTTAAAATTCTTTTATGGACAAAAATATATATTCCAATACCATTTAAGTATTTACTTTAGGAGATTCATAGAGAAGCATCCAGATGCTTATGTCATAACTCTCAAGAATATGAAGGGTTTAAGGGTTCACTGTGTGCTTTATACAGAGAGAGACAGAGAGAGAATAACATGAGAACAGAATAAAATAAGAGAAAAAAACTGGTTAATGGAATTGTAGGTGGAATGAGTTTCTCAATAAAAAAAATATAAGAACTTGGACTATCTCCTCTAATATCAGTAGGCACGAATATAATGCACTTCATACAGATTAGGAAACTAAGCTTCATGAACTTGCCCAAACCATTTTCCATTTGGAAAGTGACATATTTGAGACTTGAACTAAAATCAAAGCTCATGTCTCATTCATCTTCAACAATGAGCAGGCTATCTTTGCAATGTAAATGTCATTTTTAAGACATTAAAAGAATAAAACATAAAATTAAAAATACATATATTAGGAAAGGATAGAGTCTTGTTACATAATGAGAAAGTAGAAGACATGATACACCAATTAATCACTCTAAAAACTCATGGAGGCTTTTAATCAACAGAATATTTCACCTCTAAACTCACATTATTCACACAGTTTCACTTATGAATATTTACTCAGTATATTTACTTAGTATACATAAAAACAGTATTCCATGCTTAAGAAAATTTGAAAATTGCTGGCTTAAACAAAATTAGACATTGATTTTGTTGTTGCTTGTTTCTTCTGAAATTTTTCTCAAAACATTTTGTATAATATGCACTAAGAAGTTCCAAAACGGATGTGTACCCGTCTGGCAGTGTTTCTCCAAGTTATCTGAGAGCTTGCTTGGAGGTTCTAGCAGGAGACTGCATCTACTTGTGTATCTTTGACCAAGGTTGTCCTCTTTGACCAAGCATGAAATCTTCAAGTTATTTGAAAATGGAACCTATTCTTTTGAAATACAGATGATACCTCCAAGTCCAACTAGCAGATTTGTGCTAGGTACCACATATACCTTAAATAAAAGAGATTCAGAAAGCTGTAGCCAGCAGCCAGGCATGGTAGTGCACACCTGTAATCCCAGAGATTTGGGAGGAGGCAAGAAGATCCAAGTTCAAAGCCAGCCTCAGTTACTTAGTGAGATCCTGTCTCTAAATAAAAATTGAAAAGAGGTGGGGATATGGATCAGTGGTAATGCACTCCTCGTTATTAAAAAAAAAAAAAAAAGAAAGAAAGAAAAAGGCTGTAGCCAGCAAGGAAAGGAATATTAGGAAAACTACATTAACCAAAAAGTGAAAAACAATAAAACAATTTAGTAAAACTTAAACAGTGGGGAAGGGGTACAGGTAGGTACAGTGGCAAATGCCTGTAATCCCAGTGGCTCAGGAGGCTGAGGCAGGAGGACTCCCAGTTCAAAGCCAGCTTTACCAACTTAGCAAGGCTCTAAGTAATTCAGTGAGACCCTGTCTCTAAATAAAATACTTAAAAAAAAAAAAAAAAAAGGCAGGGGGGTGGTATGTGGTTAAGTGCCCCTGGGTTCAATACCTGGTACCAAAAAAAAAAAATTTAAATAGGGGTTTGGGGCTGTAGCTCAGTGGTAAAGCACTTGCCTAGCATGTGTGAGGCACTGGGTTCAAGCCCCAGCACCACATAAAAATAAATAAATAAAATAAAGGTACTGAGTCCATCTACAATTAAAAAATATATACCTAAAAAAAAATTTAATTGGCGGGACAGAGGAGAAGGGGACCATCGGGAAGGGGTAAAAGAGCAAATAGGGAAAATAACATGATTTAGTACATTATATGTATATATAAGAATGTCATCCAGGGGCTGGGGTTGTGGCTCAATGGTAGAGCGCTTGCCTCACCTGTGAGAGGCATTGGGTTTGATTCTCAGCACCACATGTAAATAAATGAATAAAATAAGGTTCATCAACAACTAAAAAATATTAAAGAATGTCATACCAAATTTTGTATAATTTGGCATCATTAATAAGCACTAATAATTATAATTTAAGAGAGTAAATGGTTTTTGTTGTTTTCAACTCAATTCTATAATTAACAAAAGCTTATTAGCTTTTTAGGGAGGAACAATGATGTAGTTTTTTGGGGTTTTGTTTTTTTAGTTTAGAAATCAAACTTCTCTGCTCATTTATATGTGGACAACCCCAGCTGGTAAATGAGGCTGCTCTGTGCTACTGACTAGAATGAGGCTCATTGACAGAGGCAGCCTTCCCTCTCAGCACCCTTGATTCTAGATACTGGGACAACACCACCACCCACAACAAATAGTCTGGACTCTTAAAAACTCTGCTTCTTGGGGCTGGGGTTGTGGCTCAGCAGTAGACTGCTTGCTTAGCATGTGCTAAGCCCTGGGTTCGATCCTCAGCACCACATAAAAATAAAGAAAGAAAATAAAAGTATAAACATATATATATATTTTTTTAAACTCTGCTTCTTTTAAGTGGAAAAATTCTTTATAACTAGACTATAGTAACTTAGTTATGGGAACAACATTTAAAATAAGTATATAGATTTAAATTTTCAGTCTAAAAGAACCACCACCTGGAAATGACTGCTAATGGAGTCAGGGTTTCTTTGGGGATAATAAATATGTTCTAAAATTCGATTATGATGATAGCTGTGTAGTCTTGTGTCGTAGTAAAAACTACTGACTAGTACCCTTTGAATGAATGAACTGTATGGTATGTGAATCACATCTTAATTAAGCTATTAAAAATAAATATATATATATATATATCAACATATATATATATTTAAACATATATAGGTTTAAACATATTAACATGAATTCAACCTGGATTTATTGAGGTAACAAGAATATCACCTCTTTTGGGGTGGAGTTGTGGCTCAGTGGTAGTGTGCTTTCCTAGCATGTGTGAGGCACTGAGTTCTATCCTCAGCACCACATAAAAAAATAAATAAACAAAACAAAGGTATTGTGTGCATCTACAACTGAAAAAAAAAAATAATAACATTACCTCTTTTGACTTCACTTTAATTTATTTTCAGGCAACCCTACAAGCAACAAAAATACCGAGGGCGAGATGTACCTGTGGAAGAGTACTTGCCTAGCATGCACAAAGCCCTGGGTTCAATTCCCCAGTGCTTAAAAAAAAAAAATCCCCAGTGCTGAAACAAAAAAATTCCTATAATTTTCATTGATGTGGTCATAAAACAATTTTGAAAAAAATAAGTATAACTTGTTATTTCTTGCATAGCTTCTCTTAACACAGAAACACAAAAAACTTCTTTCCCTTATCCTTTCCTCAAAAGAAGAAATTACTTTGAAGACAAAGATGAAGACAAATACTTCAGAATTAAAATTTTAAAGAAATTCAGGACTCTTTCTTCAGGCTTACTGTTAACTATCAAGATAATACATGCTTTAGCACAAATAGGGACAAAAAAAAAAAAAAAAAAAAAAACCAGAAGAAATCCAAGGCTGACAATTGCAATTGTGATAAACTGAATTTAAGACAAAATTATAGAAATGTATTTACAATGGAGCTTGAAGAAATTACTCCAAGCTTAGAAATTGGGCTGTTAAAAGAGAGCAGGGGTAAGAAATTATTATTTTCAGTGAGCTAAAACCCACTAGATAGATATGTTTAGCCTAATATACAGGTCCCTTTCTCATCTGAGATTAAAATTTTATTTCTTGCCTCACTAAGCAGCTGTTTCTAACTTTCAGGTATTGTTATTTGAAGCCTTAATGCTCATTAGAAATTCTAGTAGGGTACTCCCAAATCACCACATTATATATATTCTCATTTTGGTTGGATCTCTACCAACACAAATTATTTCACACGAAAAAATTAAAAAACAGTATTTACTATGACATAAAAAAACACGTCTCTCTTTTTCAACTAATGTATACTGGTAGCATTTGCTTATGTATACAATTGTGGGTGAGAGTGTGAGGGTGTGTGGGTGTATGGGTGTGCACGCATGATCTAAGATGGAAGTAAAAGTTTCAACTCTTATACCTAAAGATAACTATCTAAAACTTCGGGAAAACAAGCATACATCCCTGTGTCATGTTCCACAATGATAAGAATGGTTTCTGGAGAACTAAAGAAAAAGATACATGAAGAAGAGATTATATCTGAAAGCATAAATTTTCTTAAGACTATGAAAGACAATGGGTCTTAACTCCTTTCAAAATAACTTCCACACTTTAGCCTACCCATAAAGCAAAAAGTGTTTAAATTATGGTAAACAAAATGTATTTGGAACCCTTTTTGACCAAAAAAAGTCAAAATTATATATAAGACAATGCCAAAACTTAGTAGTCTGTTTAGGAAGTAAATCTTCTAAATATTTTGAATACTATTTTAAATCCTCTTTTAATTAGAATTTTTTTAAAAAAATATTTAGTTTTTAGTTGCAGTTGGACACAATACCTTTATTTTATTTATTTATATGTGGTGCTGAGGATAGAACCCAGGGCCTTACATAGCTAAGCAAGTGCTCTACCGCTGAGCCACAACCCCAACCCTTAATTAGGATTTAATTACATATATTTAATTAACATATCCTTCACTATCTTTCATGCATATATTTAAAAACACCCAAATTATTATAAATTATTACAGTTATTTCCTATAGTTTCTTTCTCTAGGCAGATGGATAAAACTAAGTAGAAAAGACGGGAATACTTTATAAGGACACAAACCAAGTAAACTAGTACCAAGAAGCCAAGCAGAAATTTTCGGGGCAAATAATTTAAAAACAAAATTCTACAAGTCTATGAAATGAATAAAAAAGAAAACACTTGCACATATTTTTAAAATAATTCCTCAAACTTACTACTCTGTTTAAAAGAAATTTCAATCTTTTAAGAAGTATTCCCAAGTTTATTTGGATTCCCCCAGAACTCAACATTTAAATTCACCACACTTAAAGGGCGAGAAAGGAAAAAAGAGAAGACAGAAGACAAGGAGGCAAGCTTACCCTTGAAATCAAGGACTGACTGCTTACCTACGATCCTCTGATTTGGGGATGGGGTTGGTGCAGCGCTGGCTGTTGTACTTGGCCACATATTCACATTGCTTGAAGGGGGCAGTCTTGTCCTCCAGAACGTGTCTGATACAGAAAGCGTAGCCGTTGAGACGCCGCTGCTTGCACAGTTTGGGGCTATACGAGCACAAGGGCTTATTGTCAACCTCAGAGAAGTGTATATGTTTCCCTTCATACATCACGTGACTCTATTCCTTGTGAACATCAGCTAAAGGGCCACCACAAAAAAAGAAACCCAAATGATCAATCAGAGAGCACAAGGTAGATTTAAATTGAGAATTTCACTGAGGAACTTTGGCCTCACAGCCATACCTGATTTTAAATCTTCTGCACCATAGCAATGTTAAGAAAACCCCAAGGATACCACAGTTTGGAACGCTGCTGAATCGAGATGAAGCAAACTGTCTATAAAAACATCAAAAGCCTAGTTAACAAGTAGAAATAAGCAAAGCTAGTTCATCCAGGTTATAAAATATGTCACTATCACCCTTCCTAATGTAATGGATTCTTCCTTATACTCCAACATCTCATTAATGTGGTCAAATAGGAAAAAAAAAAAAAGACATTATAAAATATGCTATCTTATCTCTCAAAATGGAACTAAACAACATTTACTCAGGTTAAGTTTTGCAAATACCTTAAAGCAGAACTCCTCCACCAAATGAACTGTCACCAGTACAGGTCTTTTTACAGGTGTTTATGTACTTGTATTTTTAGAAAACCAAATCCCTTTACTGGGCCAATGGAATAACTATAGACCTAAAACCTCTCTCAGAAATTCTACATTTTTTTCTCTTCTTTTTCTTTCTTTCTTCTTCTTCTTCTTCTTTTTAAATTTTTAGTTGTAGATAGACACAGTATCTTTATTTTATTTATTTATTTTTATGTGGTGCTAAGGATCGAACCCAGTGCCTCTCACATGCTGGGTAAGCACACTACCATGGAGCCACAGCCAGTCTCTACCTTTTTTCTTATGTTAACAAAATATTTGCCAATTTGTAACAAATGTTTATGAAACATAAAAATAGAGCAAATAAAATATAAAATAGGAAGGAGGGATGGGAATAATCTTGTCAAAAGGAATCCAAATACTACATATAATTATAATGCTCTAATAAAAAGTAAAATTTTTAAAAAATTTTATTTTCCTTCTAATACTCCACCACACTATAACATCTAAACTCTAAGCTTTTTCAACACAAAGCCTAGTCATCCAACCACACTTATATCATCCAGCACTCCACCCCACCTGGTGCTTCTAATTACTGGAAGTAGGATAATAATCATTGCTTAAGCCTTCTGAGATTCCATTAGAAAATGGAAGGGAATTTTACAATACTGACTACCTTTCTATACCCAAAAGACCTTTGCCTTTGCCTATACCCTTCTGCCCCCAAAAGGGTAGCTATTACACAACCCCATAGGAGTCCACAACAATGAAACTCAAACCTATTTTGCAAAGTCAGTGTCTCTGAGAGCTGATGCAGTCCAACCCATCCTCCCAAAACTGATGGAACAGCTTAAGATACCAGCTACAGGAACACTTGGGAAATACCCTTTCATTCAGAATCTGAACATGGAGCTAGGGTGAAACTCAGTGGTAAAGTGTATGTTCTTATCATGTGCAAAGCCCTGGTTTCAACCCTTAGTGCTAAAAAAATAAAAACAAAAGAAAAAAGGTTGAATGAAACATTCCTTATACCAGCAAATGACAAGAAACATAAATACTTGAGCCCCAAATCTAACACTTACTGTGTTATCTTGAACAAATCATTTAACCTCTCTGAATCTCAGTTTTCTCATCTGTAAAATAGGAATAATAGGAGATGTTATCACTGTTGTTCTAAGGATCAAATGATACAAAGCATGTAACAGTAAGGATCATGCCTAGCATATGGTAAGTGCTGGATAAATTTAAGTTATTATTCACAAATGTTAATTCTTTTTTAAGAAACATTTTAAAAAATATTTTTTATGAACACAATACCTTTATTTTATTTGTTTTCATTTTTATATGGTGCCAGGGATCGAATCCAATGCCTCACACATGATAGGCAAGTGCTCTACTGAGCCACAACCCCGGCCCATAAATGTTAATTCTTATATTACTAATTTCACCTACTAGTGATAATGGTAGCATATTTGTATTCTCCTTAAGAAACATTTCGATAACTTTAATAGATTAAAAAAACATGCAATATTAACAAATCACTCAAATTACTAAGTAAATCTAATAACATCAATATGAAACAAAAATTAGAGCTTTTCCTTTCCACCTTATTGGGATGCAAGAGTTGGACTACAAATTCATTTAGCTTTCCTAAAGGTCTGAATAGTTAGGACAGGAAATATGTCAAAGCAACCCAGGCAGTTTTTCATTCTTATACTCTCTTAAACTACTCATCTACCTGGCAAAGTCTTTCACAAATTAGTTCAAGTAAGTGTGTATGAACTTCAGTGAAAAAATACCCTAGGTACAATTAAGCTTAAAAAGTTATATACAGTTCCTTAGCCCATTTATTGATTGGGTTGTTTTGTTTGGGGGTGTTTTCTGAGTTCTTTATATATCCTGGAGATTAATGCGCTATCTGAGGTGCATGTGGTAAAGATTTTCTCCCATTCTGCTGGCTCTCTTCACTTATTGATTGTTGCCTTTGCTGAGAAGAAGCTTTTTAGTTTGAAGCTGTCCCATTTATTGATTCTTGATTTTACTTCTTGCACTTTAGGAGACTTGTTAAAGAAGTCAAATCCTAAGCCAACATGGTGAAGATTTGGGCCTATTTTTTCTTCTATTAGGCACAGGGTTTCTGTTGCCTAAGTCTTTGATCCACTTTGAGTTTTGTGCAGGGTGAGAGATAGGGGTTTAGTTTCATTTTGTTACATGTGGATTTCCAATTTTCCCAGCACTATTTATTGAATAGGCTAGTTTTTCTCTACTAAATGTTTTTGGCGCCTCTGTCTAGCACGATAGCTGTATTTATGTGGGTTTGTCTCTTTGTCTTCTATTTGTACTACTGGTGTACATGTCTGTTTTGGTGCCAATATCACACCATTTTTGTTACTAAGGCTCTGTAGTATAGTTTAAGGTCTAGTATTGTGATGCCTCCTGCTTCAATCTACTCTCATGTATAACTAATTAAAACAAATAAAAAACTTTTTTTTGAAAAAGTCATTTACAGAATCTGTTTGATTACCTTTATAGAAAAAAAAGAAAGAAAGAAAGAGGGCTGGGATTGTAGCTCTTTGGTAGAGCGCTTGTCTGGTGCTCATAAGACCCTGGGTCAATCCTCGGCACCACATAAAAATAAATAAACAAAATAAAGATATTGCATCATCTACAACTAAAAAAATAATTTTTAAAAAAGAAACAAACCTGTGTGTTGGTATGTAGAAGAATATTTTACAAATCACATAAGTCTAAGGGCAAGAATGGAGGGATATGAAAGGCAATGCTTACATTTTACTATGAAATTTTCTAGCTATGCAATCAAAATTGAGGATTTCGGGCTGGGGATGTGGCTCAGTGGTAGAGCGCCTGCCTGGCGTTCGATTCCCAGCACCACATAAAAATTAAAATAAAGATATTTTTAAAAAAGAATTTAAAAATTGAGGATTTCATCTTTCTTTCCAGTTTTTTAAGCATATATTCTCCCATAACTCAATTAGCTAGAACCACTAGAAAAAATGTTAAGCAATAATAGCAAAGCTGTGCATAATGTCACACACCTGTGATCCCAGGTACTCTGGAGGCTGAGGCAGAGACTCAGTGAGACTCTGTCACAAACTAAAAAAATAAAAGAGTCATGGATGTAGCTCAATGATAGAGCACCACTGGGTTTAATACCCAGTACAACAAATAATAATCATGATGATGATAATAATGACGACAGTGGCAGCAACACTGTTAACTCCTAAATTTAAATAACTGCTTCATTAGAAATAATGCTAACTTGCATCACATCACAACACATATTCCATATTTGTAGTTCCATGGCAAAGTGTATGCTTAGCACATGCTAGGCCCTGGGTCAATCTCAAGCACCAAACAAAGAAAAGAAAAAAAGTAAACCACAGGGGCTGGGGTTGTGGTTCAGTGGTTCAGCACTTGTCTCGCACATGTGAGACTCTGGGTCCGATCTTCAGCACCACATAAAAATAAAGAAAGATATTGTGTCCATCTACAACTAAAAAAAAATTTTTTAAAAAAGCAACCCACAATTCCTATTATTTATTTATTTATTTATTGGTGCTGGGGATTGAACCCAGGGCCTTGTGCATGCACAGCAAGCACTCTGCCAGCTGAGTTACATCCCTAAGCCCAACAATTCCTATCTTACTAAGAATAGGTTTTTGAGCTGGGCACGCTGAAAAATACCTGTAATCCCAGCAATTTGGGAGACTGAGGCAGGATGTTCACAAGTTGGAGACCAGCCTCTGTCAATTATCAAGACCCTCAGCAATTTAAAAAGGTACTCTCAAAATAAAAAAAAATAGCAAGTCAGGGGGATGTAGCTCAGAGGTTAAGTGACCCAAGTTCAATCCCCAGTATAAAAAAAGGGGGGGGGATGGGGACCAGAAATGTAATTCATTGGTAAAGCACCCCTGGGTTAAGACCCCCAATACTGTCAAGTTTCTTAGTTTTTGTTTTATTTGGAAGAGTTGAATCAAAAATATCCTACTAATCTAACTTCTATTTTTCCTTATCTTTTTGTCTTAAAAATTTTAATGGTGAGCTGGGTATGGTGGCGCACACCTGTAATCCCAGCGACTCTGGAGGCAGAGGCAGGAAGATGCTGAAGCCAGACTCAGCAAGGCCCAAAGCAACTTAGTAAAAGTTGATGGTTAATTTAACCAATTTTTTCATCACCTAGGGAAATCTTATTTCCTGTTTACACTTTTAAAATTATGGTGTTCAACACCTCCATATAAGAAAAATATAAGAGGGCTGGGGATGTGGCTCAAGTGGTAGCGTGCTCGCCTGGCATGCGTGCGACCCGGGTTCGATCCTCAGCACCACATACCAACAAAGATGTTGTGTCCACCGAGAACTAAAAAATAAATATTAAAAATCTCTCTCTCTCTCTCTCTCTCTCTCACTCTCTCTTTAAAAAAAAAAAAAAAAGAAAAATATAAGAAAAGCCAACTTGGTTACCATATATTATTTATTCTTTTAATGTGCTGTTGAATGACACCAATATCTAGGATTTGGTTTTTTTTTTTTTTTACTTTTTATCTTTTTTTTTGGTAATCAGGGATTGAACCCAGGGGTGCTAACCACTGAGCCACATCCCCAGTCCTTTTTATTTTGAGACAGATTCTCACTAAGGTGCTTAGGGACTCACTAGTTTGCTGAGACTGACCTCAAACTTTTGATCCTCTGGCCTCAGTCTTCAAAATTGCTGGGATTATAAGCAAGTGCCTCTATGCCCAGCAAGATTTTTGTATTTTGAGAATGGTATAGTTTTCTTCTGTGTGTTTTGGCAGATTGATATCAATATAATGTTGCAAAAAGTAATTTACAAAACAATTTTTTAATTTTCCTGTTCTTTTTTCTACGTGCGTGTACACACAGGTTGTGTTGGGGATCTAACCCAGGGCCTCCTGAGAGCTAGGCAGAACTCTACCACTGAGCTTACACCTCCATCCCTCTCTTTCTGTTCTTTAAGAATGTAAAAAGCATTTCAGTTATCTATGTTCCTTGGGTTGCTTGAGCCTAATAGTGCTCTTCTGTTTTCAATTTATCTGTATCCAGTTGAGCAGAGTAAACTTTTTACATTTAATTTTCTAAATATCCATGTCCTACTGTACGTTCACATACAATGTGATATTTGTTTTTTCTCCCTTTGTTCATGATGAGCTTTAGTTTATCTGCTTAATATTTTTATCAACACTGTCTACCAAAAATAAAAAACATCTTAGAGTTATTAGCACTCTCATTTATCTACTTCCTCAATTTCTGCTTTTATCTCTGCTAATACCATCCTTCCACTTTCTTCCAATTATTTTATTCTATTTCTTGGATTGAATTTGCATTCTTTTCCAGCTTAATATTATTCTATTTACATCTATGAATTTTCCTTTGAGTACAGCTTTAACTATATGTCCCATAGGTATTAATACACAGAATTTTGACTATCAGCACATTCTACCATTTGGTTTAATTTTTTATTTTTCCTTTGACCCAAGAGTTAGTCTTTTTCAGGGCTGGGGTTGTGGCTCAGTGGTAGAATGCTTGCTTAGCATGCATGAGGCACTGGGTTTGATCCCCAGCACCACATAAAAAAACTAAATAAATAAAATAAAGGTGGTGTGTCCATCTACAACTAAAAATATTCTTCTTAAAAAAAGAGGTTTTTTTTTTTCAAATGGAAAATTTTTGTACTTTTCTGTTTAAATTCTAGAAAAGAAATAGGATTATAATCTACATATATCTTTGCTTCTTATATTAACTAAATTTTCTTTGGAGGCCTAAAGGGTGTGTGAAAAAAAATAATTGTTTTCATGGTATGTTGTTTGTTACACCATTTATGATGTTATTAACCTCATGTGTCATATCCTATGTCATAACCTATTCTCTATTCTTGTTCTATCAAGGACTGGAAGAGTTGAATCAAAAATGCCCTACTATAATCTAACTTCTATTTTTCCTTATCTTTTTGTCTTAAAAATTTTAATGGTGAGCTGGGTATGGTGGTGCACACCTGTAATCCCAGCGACTCTGGAGGCAGAGGCAGGAAGATGCCAAAGCCAGACTCAGCAAGGCCCAAAACAACTTAGTAAAAAATTAAAAGGGGTGGGGATGT